GACTTAAGATTAGACTAACATAGGGGCGTTTGATTTGAAACTCGATCGAGCGAGCGTCGAGGAGACCGAGAAGTGATGACGTCACAATAGAGCATTGAATAAAATCAAATAAAACAGCATGGTATAAAAAATAAGAGGTAGGATATCAAAAGTGTCAAAAATAGGACGGCCACGCGCATGACGTCACGCGTAGAGTTTCTATAGGCGCGAATTTAAAAATACTGACGAAGTGTAAGGAAATTTCATGAATATTAAGGATACTATTTTAGAAATTACATCAAATATCTATGTATATTATTATAGGATAGTTAAGGAAAGAACTATAAAGGAACATAAATTCAAATACATACATAAAAGAAGTATTTATTTTAACAGTTTTTTCCTTTTTATTTTTTAATGATTTATTTTGGTTATACAAATTCGACTTCTAAAGAATAGTTTTTATAACCAGGATAATAAAAAGGGTATCTTCGCAAGTCGAAACTGGGGATCCTGGTAACAATTTCGCATCTGGAGATGCCGGACAATTTTATCTTTTTACTTATTTACCTACATTATATTACCCAATTTAATAAAAATAAGTTTTAAAAAATATGTGTTTTCATATAATATAATGCAGACATTCATATTATGTAAAGCATAAAAAAATGTATGAAATACAAATAACAGCTACATAACATATTGTGGGTGCATATACAAAATTAAAATAAAATGTCACTACAATTTTCCTGGACATAGTCGCTGACAGTTTTTTTAATTCATTCATCACGTACAAGTCGAAATTTTCCTTTTTTGCGACATTTGCAATTTCTCTTTTTCTTATATTGCAAAATTTTTAGCCTTCAAAGGGTTTATAAGTTCCAAGTTGCGAATGAACCAATGTGAAGTTCTGATTTGAGATACCTCTTATAATTGGAAGGTTAAAAGTGTTTGGAATACATATTCTTAGATAAAATAAAATAAATGTTAAATAGGATAATACGTATCGATTTGTATTAACCATGTAAGAAGGCCTTTGTCTGTTTGGTTAAAAATAAATAAATATGAACATTTATTTGCAGGGTTACAAGCCACTGCAAGGGCTGCACCAATTTTCTTGGGAAGAAGGATATAATTGACTATTTAGCATTTTTTTTAAGGCTCATGGAATTTAAGAATTTTAATCTAGGGACGGCATGCTCCCTTGAGCCTCCGCTGGAGCCGCCCTTGGGCCACTCCTAACTTCTGATTAAGCTCTTACTGTCGAGGAAAGCGAAAAACCATAATATCTTTCTTGAATCGTTTGCTTTAATTGTCACTGTTACATCCGTACCGCAAGTTTTCAATGTTTTTTACTAAAACCACTCACAGAGAACAAAGTTTACAACATAATATAATACAAATATCTGTTTAATATCTTATAAATCACTATAAACGACTCACAAACTACTGCAACATGCGTCTGTCATATGATATTTATTTCACGTCAACTCTACGCATGACGTCAACGCCGCCATGACACCATGCGCGATATCCCCCCCTGATAAAACAGAGTAAAAAACATAACCTCTCTTTTCTGTGATTCTTGTTTCTATTTTGTATGTTAAAATAGTGAGCAAAAAGTAAAGAAAATGAAAAAACTTTTAATAATAAGGGGTAATGGGCCTGAAATGCAGCATTTACCACAAATGCCCGCTTCGCTCTCATACTCCATGACTGTGATTACTGGTGATTAGATCTGGACAGAAAAAATGTATTTTCCAAATACACATTTTGTGTTTTTTTATGATGAATAATTTTAGCTATAAGACAAACGCGGCTAAGTAATTTGTTGACTTCTTGTCGGGTGTTTAATTTTGAGATTCAAATTTGTTTGTAAGTTATTAAAAAGAGATAAGTAGAGACAAAGACAAATTTCTCCCTCTTCTCGATCTTTCTGCTCTGAGAACATCGAGCTCGCTCTATGTTCTCGCTCCAAAGCGAAACAAACACTTTAGGGATCTCTCGGAGTGTCAATTCAAACACTTTTGAAGCGCTCGGAGATCTCCGATGATCAAATCAAACGCACCACATGTAATAGCTGCTACAATAATAATGAAATAATTGTAATAAAATGTCCCTATTCTTGTGCCAAATTGACACTAGAAATGGAAATTCGAAAAAAAAAAAAATTAAATATCTAGCCAATACAGATGGCCAAATTAAATAAAAAAAAGGATAATTATTATTATCAGGTATAAGGACAATTGGCTATAACTAAAGCCAAATATTGTTATTTTATAGTTTGGACCCCACTAGGAATGCTCGTTGAGAAAAGTGACAATTTTTGGTTATGTGCTGAACCATAGTTAGTTGATTTTTATTTAAAATATTTAATAAAAAAAATTGTAAGAAGAAATTGATGTTATTTTTTTTGTGATTGTATTTTGTTATGTGAAATAAAATGTTTTATTAAAAATAGTAGGTAATGAAAGTTTTTTTTGTATTTATGTATTTAATTTATTTTTACCTATTTTTTACTTTTAGTGAACGAAGAAAAGATAAAAAGATAAAACCAATACATTATATTTTTTTATGAAATTAAAACAAAGCAATAAAATATACATGCGTACGATAAAATAGTTATCAAAAAATTTTTCGTCTACACTACAAATTAATTGTGAGATTGATGCGATTATTTAAAAAAAAAACACCACTGTATAATAATAATAATAATAATAATAATAATAATAATAATAATAATAATAATAATAATGTTTATTCATTTAAAAAATAAAAATATTACATATTTTTGTATTTTGAATATTTTTTTTCATTATATTGATATTAAAGGAGTCGAATAAACCCATTTATGTCCTTGTAGGATGCGCATGGGTATTCGACTGCTTTATATCATAATAAAATTACAATAATAAATGACAAATTTTAAAACAGATGTGCACACTTAAAAAAAAATTATAATTACATTATATATAAAATATTTTTAATAGAGCTTAAATGTGTAAGATTGTTAAATATATTTGTATTATATCGCTTCGCAATTTCAGATCCGACTACTAATCACTCAAAAATTGCATGAATTAAAGTTAATTGAGTATTTAATAAAATTTTTTTGATAATTTGCTTGAATAAATGTTTTGAGTTTATCGTCAATAAATACAATTTGTACATATCTGGAATAAAGTTGTAAATTTTACTTATTAAGAAATTAAAATGTCTTTGTCCAATTGATTTATTTGCCAAGTAAGTTTGCACATGACCTTGTTGTTTAATTCTGGTGTTATATTTATGATTAATTTTTTTTAAAATGTTTTTATTTTTATAAGTGTACATAAGTGATGTGTAAACATATAACTGTTTGATATCAAATATATTTATTTCAGAGAAAAGGGCATCCGACGGATATCGAGTTTTTTTATTGTGTATAATTTTTAATATTCTCTTTTGTAGTATTTCTAATTTGTTTGTGTGACTTTCCAAAAATCAGTTTCTTACTTTAAATATACCATTAATAAAGCCATCCAAAGCTTTCGCGCGGATACCAAGTGTATATTATCAAATAGTAATATTAACAACAATAATGTTTATTTACAAAAATATGATCAACAACTATATGTATAAAAATGCTTTACTATTTCACCTTAGAATATAAATAAAATCAATTATCCCATTATCTGAGGTCATTTATGAAGTTGAGTGTTTTTCTATTCAAAAAACCGTATGAAAACTGTGCCAAGAATATACTAAGTATTTTTATTTACTTAATTTTTCTTTGCTTTATTTAAAATATTTTTTTGAAAATGTGCTATTTTGAACTTTTTTACCTAGTTTCAAGCAATTATTGTTTTAGCTACCAAACAATTTTTTCTTCTGCATCACATGAGTACAAACATTTATTTTGTAATTTGTTTTTACTTATATTTACAACTCAACTGTCATATTGACATATATTTGTAATGGATGCGTATACGTACCCTTGGCCGAAAACGGTATAACGGTATTATAACCATTAGAAACAAGAGTTGTTTTAGAACTATTGTCTGTAGCATAAAATATTTTTCGATAACTTTTTCACGTCCTTTTTGAAAGTTTGAAAGAAAATAGCTTTTTTGCAACCGGAACAGTGAGAGATAATCGAACCGATAAATGCCCAGTTGAAGATAAAAAAGCCTTGGCAAAAAAAGAAATAGGCTCTTATACTTCCGCATTTGATCAAAACTTGGGAGTCCTATACAAATGCATATAATATTTTACCACTAGTGCAGATAAAATGCTATAACCGAAAGGAGCGCAAGGAAGTACTTATCCCTCAGCCAAATGTAATCCATCAATACAATAAATGTATGGGTGGGTTAGACCTTCATGATAACGGTATCTCCAACTATCGCATCGGAATAAGAGGCAAAAATGGTGGTGGCCTTTGTTTACTAATCTGATAGGCAGCATGGTGGTAAACAGTTGGAAAATAGTTGGAAAATCTATAATATAGCGAATGAATCCAAAATGTCACAAGTAGAATTTCGCTCGAACTTAGCACTCTCCTTGCTAAAACATCGATGTTACTTTAAATACTACAGCATACAATTCAAACAATGGAAGACCCTCCAAATCTGCTTCTAGCTGATGTGAGATTTAACAATATCGGACATATCATAATTAGGGAGGTTAATAGTGCAAAGAAAAAGTGTTGATTTTGTAAAAGTAACAGTATTTATCTGTGTAAAAAGTGTAAGGTGCATTTGCACCCAGACTGCTTTAAAAATTTCCACACAACAAAATTAATTTTCTTTGTAATATTATTGACTGTTTTTGGCCAAGCGTGCGTATACGCACCCACGATTTTTTCTTCAACAACTATGTTTAGAATTTTTTTTGGAAATAAGTCTTATTTTAAATACACTTTAATAAAAAAAAATATAAATACATCTTGTTTTACTTGTCTTGGTCCATAAAACTTTTTGTTTTTTTTATTTCAGTCATTTAAATTTGGTGCTTAAGCTTGAATATAATTATTTTTCCAGACGAAATTCGTTCTGCAAACCATACTAAGCAATATGCAAGCGTTTCTCCTAAAGAGGACTGTTCTTCTAAAGAAGCCATTTTAGCATCAGATCCTGAAGAAGCTTTATTTGGTCGTTTTAATGGTACATTACTTTTCGTTTCAAGTTGCGAATACTAATTTAAAAACCACACCAGTTGCCAATCAGATTTCACCGTTGCCTAAAAGGACCCCGCAATAATCTTATGGAAATTGGGTTCCTGTCAAATTGTCTGAATTTTTGATATGCTGTAGATTTTGTCATCCTCAACAAAAGTCTCCATGGGCACAAAGTGCTAAAATAAATATTTAGGCAGCTACGGAGCTGCCAAAGCTCCCCTGACCCGTTGCAAAACTATTCATTTTCAATACTATTTACAGATGTCAAAAGCGTATTTTAATTATACTAATATATAGGGTAATGTTTTTGAGGTCACTGGATTCAACCCTCATGTCAGATTGGACAAATTGACCGTTGACAGCTGTCAATACACTGTCAACGAAGAATAGAAAAGTAAATATTCTCTGTTGACATTGAGAGTTTGGGCTTTTGAGGGAGCTGAATTCAATTCTAATCTCAGATTGGAAAAATTGACAGTTGACAGCTGTCAATTCACTGTCAACGAAGAATAGAGAAGTAAATATTCTCTTTCCTTTCAATTAATCAAAAAATGAAGTGATCAAAAATTATATATTTTTTGTTTGAAAAAATGCGGTATACCTACCTAGGTTATGTTATGTTATATTGAGAATGGAATGTTAATACACTGTGACCTAAAAGATCTATTGTGCCCCCTTCTGTCGCCAATGCACCAAGGAAATGTCTGAATGCCTATAACGACCCTTCCAATCCTTCTTAAGGAAGTGTAGGATTTGAAGTGGCTTCAAGTTAGGTAAATCTCCCTCTTCTATTTGATAATACCTAGGTTACGTTCGACTTTAGAGACACACTGCTTGACTGACCAATTTCACTTTGTTTTTTGATTTAAATGATATTAAATATGATTTTAACTTACCTTAGGTTTAGAAAAACGAAAAAACGTATAAATCAATTATATATTTTAATTAAATACTTTTTAAAAATAAGAAAACGAAAATTTGAAAATTTTATTATTTGACATTTCTTTTCTGGATAATGAGCGGGGTTGCCAAGATTAATATATTAGTTGTTACTATTTCATCATTACAAGAGAAGATCTTGAAAGCGACTTGGTAAGACCAGACAAAAAAGCAGCAAACATTTTGGATACAGTTTTTTATTGCCCAAAATGTAGAACTGACTATTCATTAAAATGTAGAACTGACTATTCATTATTTAAAAATTCATTTTTTGAGAAGATGAACATTTCGGTAAAAGATACAATTTTATTGTTTTGGTGCTGGGCATGCCAACTTAGGGTAGCTTTTACAGCAGAAATGTTGGGAGAAGCTAGAGAAAGGTGGTGCAGCAATATTGATACATTCGGGATGTTATAAGCTGGAAATTAATCAATGAAAATGATCAGTTCATTTTAGCTTTCGTTAAGCCGAATTTATGCGTAACATGATCTTATGATGTAAGTGAAAAAAAAGGCGCGCCCGGCCGACATTTCGAAATTCGCGCGCTTGAATTTCATAACGTCGGCCGGGCGCACTCGCTTCCCTTGCTTTCCTCTATAGTGGTTGGGAGGTGGAAAGAAGAAGTTTTGCGTGATCTTATAATGTAAGTGAAATAAAGGCGCGCCCGGCCGACTTTTCGAAATTCGCGCGCGCAAATTTCTAAACGTTGGCCGGGCGCGCTCACTTTCCTCTGTGATGAATAGGAGGTAAATGGAAGGTGGGTGGAAGGAGCTTAGCGTGATCTTATAATGTAAGTGGAAAAACGTTGGCCGGGCGCGCTCGTTTCGCCCGCTGTCTTCTGTAGTGGTTGGGAGGTGGATGAAAGAAGTTTATAATGTAAGTAAAAAAAAAGTGCGCCCGGCCGACGTTTCAAAATTCGCGCGCGCTTATTTCAAAACGTCGGAAGGGTGCGCTCGGTTCGCTCGCTTTCCTCTATAGTAGTTAGAAGATGGGTAACAGGAGCATAGTGTAATATTATGATATAGATAGTTGCCATGGCAACAGTGTTTACTGATTTCGGCTAAACAAAATTTGATCCTATTAATATATTTATATAATTTTAGGTATGTTTTTTTTTAGGGGGAAACGGACACGTTGTGCAGATTAACGAATCTGTAATAACTAAAATAAAATACAATTGGGGTCGGAAAAATGGATTCTCGGAATCTGTGACATCACGCAAAAAAGGTTATGTAATATATGTAAAAAACAGAAAACAAACAACTTTGATACTAATAATTCGCCGCATTGTTCATCCAGGATCTGAAATTTGGACTGACCAATGGAATGGATATAATCAATTGAAAAATATTGGTTATAATTATAAAACAGTTAACCATTCAAAATATTTTGGAGATCCCAAGACAGGTGTCTGTACGAACCATGTGGAAGTTTAATGGTCATGCTTAAAACGTTATATTAGACAACTTGGTGTCATGAATTCTAATTTTTTGCCCGAATACATCAAAGGAAAAATATGGAAAAAGTGCCAAAGATAGATTAAAAAATTTAACTTTGCACATATTACAAAAATATTAATGGTTCTTTGTTTATGTGTTTAATTTGTTCTTGTCTATTTGTTCTAATTAATCATAAGTTATCATATTTTATTGTTTGATCTATGTTAGAGGTTGGGGAGCGATGTTTAATATCGATTATACTATTTGAACTGCAATGATTCCAGGCCGTATGCGTCGCCCTGAATATAATTTAGAGTGAACGGTTATGTTGAATGAGTTAAATAAAATGATTTTGTAGAAATTACTTAAAAATGTCAATAAGTTAAAAAAACTTACAAAGGAATACTGTTTCATTGTATAAACAATTGTATAAGCTGATATGAACAGATAATATTCTTTGATCTGTGTTAGGGGTCGGGAGCGATGTTTGATACAGATTCTGGCATTTTATCACAAAATTCTATTATTTTTATTTAAATAAACAAATCATAAAAGTATAATAATTTACGATTTTAAAAGTTAGTTATTCTTACATATTAAAATACTTGGCAACCTTGTACACATATGTCAAAAGATTTGATAAAAATGTGCAATTTTTGAGATTTTAATATTAAATTTCTCGCTTAATCGTGAATAATCTCCATTTTGTTTTTTTAATTTTCATGATATATAACTCCTACACTTTCTAATAGTACAAAAAAATTTTGAAATTCGTGTGTCTTTTAAGTCGAATGTAACCCCTACCTATAGAGCAACGGCATTAAAAAATATATTTTTTGTCATGAAATGTACAAGCCATATTTGCACAAGAAACTATCAGTAATAAAAAAATATATAATTCAAATATGAAAATAATTAAAAAATAACGTGACGAACCCACGTAAAAAAGAATTGAATGTAACCTGAAATGAAAACATAATTTTTAAAAAATTCGCTTCCTGGCCAACTGACACAGATCAAAGAATATATATACATTAATTCTTCTTAGCTAAATATCACTATTACTACCAAACCTAAGTTGCCTAAGTACCTATTGATTATTGCAATAAACACAATCTAAAATTTAGGAATGTTGATTGAATAAAAATACATATTTTTCTGTAATATGCTCACAAATATTGGTAAACATATCTTTTTCTACGAACTCTTACAAAAAGACAACTTTCGCTACAGGATACTTTCAGCGAAAACTTGATTTCCGTCACTAGTGAGAAAAAATCCCATAACGTTTACTTTCGTCTCTAGTGACGAAAGTAAGTTGTTACATATTTTCATATATCAGTCGCCTCGTATAATATTTTGGCAGCTTATAATTATTAAAAATGAAATAAAAAGATGCTCATTAAATTCTATATGCGTTTTTACCTAAACTTTAATGAATTAAAGATAAAATAAAAATGTATAAAAATAGTGCAAATTAAACCAATCTACATCTAGTTTCCTGGTTTTCATTTGTTTATTTGAAGTTTTATCATTTTTGAGAACTGTCAGTTTCAGTTCGTCCTAAATTTAACACATTTTCATGATGTCTGAGTCAGAAAGCGATTGTACTCCCCCAGAAATTATTTTTAAAGCTAAAGAAATTTCTTCAGATTTATTACCGGCCAAATCAAAAAACAGATATGAAGAAATGTATATCAAATTTTTGGACTGGAGAGAAAAAAATAAAGTGAAATCATTTTCGGAAACTGTACTACTAGCATACTTTGGAGAAATATGTTCAAATTTTAAACCGTCGACGTTATGGTCCATTTATTCGATGCTAAGAACTACACTCTCTGTTAAAAATGATGTCGATATTAGTAAATATCCAAAGTTACGTTCGCTTTTGAAAAGAAAATCTGATGGTTTTAAAAGCCAAAAATCCAAAAAATTTTCGCCTGAAGACATAGAGACTTTCCTAAAGAATGCACCTGACTATAAATATTTAATAACAAAGGTAACGGAATTATTATTTTTATTTTAACAAATACTTAATACAAAACTACTAATATTTGTAGGTAGCATTAGTTTTTGGATTATCTGGCGTTTGTCGTTGCCACGAACTAAAAGATTTAACAATAAGCGATGTAAAGGATACTGGAAGTATTCTGTTAGTTAAAATCCGTAATACAAAAACAAAAGTTCCGCGTTCTTTTCATATTTCTGGACCCTTTTATGATATTTCTAAAAAATATATGAGCCTACGTCCCGCAAACATGGATCAAATTAATTCAAGATTCTTTATTAACTATCAGAATGGAAAGTGTAGCAGACAGGTTGTTGGAATTAATAAAATCAGTAAATTTCCTAACGAAATTGCTCAGTTTTTAACGCTTCCGAATCCTTAAGATTACACTGGGCACTGTTTCCGCAGAACATCCGCTATAAATGGATGCAGGAGGTGACTTGCTTCTGTTAAAAAAGCACGGTGGTTGGAAATCTAGTAGTGTTGCAGAAGGATATGTTGATGAATCCACGAACAGTAAAAACCAAATACAAACCAAAATTTTACAATCTGTACAAAATAAGGAAACTACTAGTTCATCCGATTATGGCGCATCATCAT